CAGATTCTGAGAAGACCTTTACGCAACACTGGTAAGACCTAAATGGTCCCACGCTACAGACTTGAGTGTGCGCGAGAGGTTGGCAGACTCAGGGTTATTATTCATCTTGATCTAATTAAACTAGCCTAACTTCTATTAGAGGTGCACGATTTTATTGGCTCTCTACATGACACACACTTTAGTGATGATCTGATCTTCATGTGCGTAAAAATGTATATAAAGCCTTCATATAACATGGGTCTTATTGAGCTGCTTCTTCCCATGAGGTTATAACATCTGAAATGAAGATGTGGCAGGTTAAATTACTCCTTTCCTTTATGTTTTCCATTGCACACACTGCACTGTCTCTACTCGCTCACGCCACGGAGGAATACCTGGGCAGAAACCGGCATGGCGCCATCTCTCAGACTGGGGGGGTTTATGATGATGTAATATGTACAGAATATACAGCTTGCCCTAACTTTAAATAGAATAATAATTTTGTGATTCACATGTTATAGTGTTAATGTGATGTAATAAGAGCTCAACAGTACAGTGTTACAGTGTTGAGCATGTAGACCTGTTTCTCTGTATCACTGTAGGATCCATAATGAAATGCTGTTTACCGTCCTGCTGATGGAAACTTTCCTGCATCTAGAGATTTAAGTTGTGAAATGTTGTTGCACGCAAACACACCACAGGCTTGTTCTTAAGTAGCTGCAAAGGGTGTGGAAACCTGCTCGGATGGAGTCGGGGCGACATGTCAGGAAACTGAGTCTCCAGCAGCTGATAATCAACCAAGTAACCATGGGGCAAGTAACGGAGATGTTGTGGTAAAAGTTCAATTTAATCTTCTCACAGTGTTAAATGTTGGCAGAAACATTGCAGTAACTTTTCCATTTTCATGCAGTCACAACAAGTCGTGTGAAATACGCGTTTATACGTAGATTGTGTTGTTAGAAATGGAAACAAAGCTGAACCCTCTCAAACCAGCTCTGTGCGAAAGCTCTGTGTTGAAACAGCACAAAGGGACACATGATGAATCTGATTGTTTCTGATTAAATTATCAAGGTCTACAATACCTTTTTTTTTATTTTATTTTATTTTATTTTTTATAAAAGTCGACAAAACACAATTGCGAGTGACCTATGTTTCCATTGAGGGAAGTTATGCAAATGAAGTAGGTTTTCTCCTGACTCCCAAGTATTTCCATTTTAATCTTGTGAAATATTGTTTTGTCACATAGTCTGAAAAACCACGTCATCCGAGCACATACATTTTTTTTTTGCGACGCTTTAGAGTTTTTTCAAAATTCACATGTTTCTATTACTCATTTTTTGTGCCAGAAACAATACAGTGCTGCATCCTCGTTCTTTTGTATCTAAGTAGTAAACCCTTATCATCAGGCAACATAAATCAATATACAGTTCTACCAACCAAGAGAAGTGAAAGCTATACTCAAAATGGACAGATAGAGAGGAAACTCCATTTCACACACAGTCCTGTTCAGCTGTTTACTTGGTTCTTCCTGGATCTATTCAGTGTTTTTTTAGGTGTGTTTGTTCTTGGACTAATGAGCCTTATCAGCTGTGCTAATGGACTCCTCCACATCATCAAACATTAAACTGACGGGACGTGCCAACCTAAACTTGGCACCCACTAACCGGAGCAGTTAGGCGGATGTCGCAGGGATTTCCCATGAGGCCGCTGGTTCATTACATCATTAGTCAATTGGAAGACACGATCAGTAATGATCATCTTAGTCTGACATTTTGTATCTGTAAAACGTACAATAATTTCAACCGTACACATATGTTGAACACCTACTCTTCCTCCTACTTGTGGTTTCCCTTTTTAATGTACAGAAAGTGGACAAAATAATGTGGACAGTTCATGATTATTAACGCAGCTGTCCTCTCTGGGTCTATAAGTCTAACCCAACTTATCAGTTGTTAATATCTTCATCAACTAAAGATCAATACAGATTTGTAATACTGTAATTTTCCCAGTACAATTCATCTTGAATTATGCATTGAATGAAAGTTCCCATTTTTTCAACAGTAATCAAAGTATATTTAAAATGACAAAAGTATTCTTCCTTTGTATCACACAAGCTGTTATCCTGCTTCCATATGCTGTCGAAAACACTTGGCCCAAAGCCCATTGGCCTTGACTGAAGACATACATCATACTACACTGCGTTATTTTTTTATCTACAAAACACTTATTGGCAAACTTCCTGGCCACCTGACATGTCTCATGTTTACACTGCACTAGGCCCAAAGACTATTTGGTCCTTGAGAATCAACATGTTTGCACTGAGATTGGGAAATTGGCTTTTAAATTTTAAGCTCCACACAAGTAGAATAACTTGCAAATTAGAAAAGTTAATTCGCTTTCTATGTTTTTAAATCTTTGTGAGCTGACTTATGGCAATGTGAATGTGTGTGCTTCAACTGAGTCGTATTGGTTTTATTATATTATTGCTTTTATTGGTTTTGTTGCTTATCCCTTCAAAATAAGTTAATACACAATTGGTGCTCTAGTAAATATGTGTGACTGAATCTGAATAATTTGTGTGTGTTCATAGTATTGAAAGAACATGTCACCAGTTGAACAGTGTGACTCACTGATATGTCTTTAATAGTTTTTGAACAATAATGAAGCTATATGGCTCAGAGGAGTTTGTTACACAAACAAAACTTAGTAGGATACATTCTTTGATGGTTTTGGCCTCTTCATGGGATTTGTTGTTATTTTTAATGTGTCTGTCATAGACTTATTCTATAAATAACTCTTAAAAGGTTTAAGGTTATGCATGATTGACTAATTCATAAACAATCTTGACAATGAGCTGTTAGAGGTTTATCCAGATCTTCCAGTCAGACCATCAAACCCAGAATCAAATCCATGGAGAAACTTGATCAACAATTTACATAGTAATGATATTTCAGCATCACAAATGTACCTTTTATTAACTCGGTTTCTCTCACTTCCTTAATCTGAAACAGGCCATGGGGTTTCCTGTCCACACTGACATGGCTGGTGTCGTATTACTGCTTAAAAATAGAGTAAAGCTCATGTTAACACACTGAACTACAACGAGTCCTGAGATGAAGGTGCCAATGATCAGGAGGGTGTGGCATCATTTCTCACAGTCAAATGTGTACTCTCATTCTTTCATTACATGACACTTGAACACACAATGCAACGTCATCACACACGCATCATATTACATCAGGAAGTTTGTCAAAGGTGACAGTAAACCTGAGCTGCAGCTCTTTCTTTTCTGTATCTGTATCACTGGCTATACACAATAGGTTAAGGTGGATGTTCATTTTGTAAGTCATGATTACCAGCTATGATAATGGGGCTGGTGCCCCCATACTGTTGTGGGATCAATCACTGAGACATTTTTTCAGTGCTTTGGCAGGTGTTTATGTCTGTGGTCGGATTTTGTGCAAGATAGAATGATGAAACTTTAGAGATGTGTAGTCGAGATCAGACTGAAGGTGGCGTTTGAATATGGGTGTGGCCTGACCATAGACTGTGAAAAATGATGGACGTAGCTTCCGTGACGTCACCCACAGGTTTCTGAAGAGCGGTTTTGAAGCTCAGACATAGCTGCTCTGCCGTCGCCACCTTGGCAGTGTCTCTCCATCTAACTCCTGGTTAATCCAAACATTAGCAAAGAGGAGTTTTTATTTCTGCTGTAAAGATGGACATTTTTACATGGGGATTGACTCACTGTTAGAGCCAGACTCCAGTGGTCATTAGAGGAACTGCAGTCTTTGGTACTTCAGTGTTGGCTTCATTTTTCAGCCTCAGAGGTTGATGCTTGGTTCGGACCCATGTGTATTGAGTACTCAGGTATTAATGTAGTAATAGCTACATTATTATTATTTTATTATAGTACTCATGGCTCTGACACATAGGTCAGAAGATCAACATGTTGACGGGTATTGCAGCTGGTGTGATTCCATCACAAGATGGTCTCTAGTTTTCCTCTATAATTTGAAATGCTGTAAAACATTTCAACTTCTTGCAGACCTGAGTGGACCTGATCCATCTGCTGTAGCCAGACATGCAAATTAGCTCTATGTCTCCAATGAATCAGCTATTAGAAATGATTGATTTTCCTTCTTAGTCAGTCTGTGCTCCTGGTTGGAAGATGGATCTTGCAGTATACATTTTGTTTTCTTCAGTGTGCAAAGTCATGGTGTGAAATTTGTCAAGATGTATGACTTGATGAGACAGTTTTTATTCATTTGACTTGACCACTCTTTCCCATTATACTGTTAATATAGTGGTCAGTTTTTCTGTTCATTTGTTCTTATCACAGAAAAGTGATGGTACTGTTGGTTTCTGAATGGACGCTCTCAGTCCTGGACTTGGGATTTACACTCACTACCACTATACTGGAACCAGGAAATCATAAAGGCCTCAGTAATTGTAAAAAAAAAGTAGGTGTTACAATGTGTTGCCTGACCACTTCTAAAGGCAAACATATTTGTATAGCCACACTTAGGGGCAGGATGAAAAGCATAAAAGTTACAGTCTCTCGAAGAACGTTTTGTCTTTTGTGTCTTTGTTGTTTTGAGGCAATTTATTGTACTAATGGGGAAAACAGTGCAGGCATTAAGACTCAAGCACGTTCATGTCAACCCTGTGAGGCTGCAATTGGGCACAAATTGAGCTAAATGGTGCTCACAATCACAATGCTAACATGCTAATAGCATGGAGATATAATGTTTTGCCTAGTCACTATTTAGTGTGTTAGTATGCTACCATTTGCTAATCAGCAATAAACACGGAGTACATGTAATGACGTTAGTGCAAGTAGTCATAAACCCAAAGGTTTGGATAAATAAACATCTTGACCTGAAGATGGCGCTGGACAATGAAAAGTCAGGGGATCACCAAAGTTTTTTTATCAGGGTTACACCAACATGTGTACCAAATTTCTTCTGAATTATTTGGATTACATTAATCGATCAGCTGAATCTTTTTGTCTTTCGCAGAGAAACCTGAGCTGCTAAGATGAATCGGGAGCGCGTAGACTCCCAGGGCTCCATGAGGCCTGACGATGAGGTCATGCCATACAGTGACGACGAGACGGATGACGAATTAGCAATCAGCTCTGAAGGAGAAGCAGAACAACAGCCAGGAGCTCTGCAACCTCCAACAGACCTTAGACTAAGCGGTGAGTTACTAAAGATGACTTTTTTTTTTTTTTTTTGAATTACCCATATTATGGGAAATCCCCTTTGTTAGTCATCCTTCCTAGAATCATCAATCAATCTGTTTGTCCAAGTATACCGATATGTCTAGGATGCATTTAGCCTAGCTTAGCGCAATGACTAGAAGCAAGAGGAAATGACTAGCTTAGCTCAAAAGACACAATATATTTGTGCCAGTTCCAAAAACTGTCTGATTTACAAGATGAATTTAATATATTCAGGAGTAAACGACAGTAGAATTTTACAGACACAATTTTTCAAGGCTAACTTTTTTTTTTTTTTTTTTTTTTTTTTCAGAGCTTGGTTGGAAGGTGAAAGCCAACGATCGACCTTACCACCACCTGCCAGAGTTTCAGAAGAAAGTCTTCCTATGCATCAAGAAGAGCAGATACTCTGTAAGTAACTGTTTACATGCAACTACTACTTAATGAACTCGTCTGCAGGCGTCTTCATCCTCTCTTTGTTGGTCCAACCAAACCCTGACACACCCTGAACAAAGAGCAGGACAAGTATGTGTTTTGCATGTTTTTACCCATGGGCTATTCATCTTGCTGACTATCCCTTTTTTAAAAAATAAATTGATAAATAATCATCATTCTTTTCAGGCAGCCTTTGGTTACAGTTCATTTCTATAACAGTCAACCTGCAGGGCTTAAAACTCCCTGCAGATATAATCTGATAATTTGTTACTTACAAGTGACTCTCCCACTGTGGGTAATGCAGTACCATTTAAAGCAACCTGAAGTGTGGAGGAGCACTACATTCACAAGTCATACTGATAAAGATTTTATCCTGCCATACAAACACAATACAATTCAATTTCAATAAACTTTATTTGTCCCCAGGGGGCAATTTAAAGGGCACATAGAGTAGACTTAAAAAAAAAAAAAAGAAGCACAAATACAAAGAACACACGAAGAACACACAACCAGTTCAATACAAACCAATAAAAGCAATGTCAATTATTTGGCTTTTAACAAGACAAAAACATCTCTTCAAGTATTCAATCCTGGCGGAAAGGGTCTATAAATACACCATAGATAATATTATTATATTGGTTATCTGACGGTTCAGAAATATTGAATTTATCTTTAATTGAACAAACATAATTTAGTGTAAGGATTATTGACCTCATACTAATCTTTGAGGCATTTTAGCCAAGTCAACACACAATATTCATCAACATTTCTAAAGTAAGTGATTAGAAAATTTTCTGTATAAAGAAAATGATATATAACATCAACAAGGAAGTGTGCTGTGTTCAGTGGTGGTTTTCTGCTGAGTCATTTCTGATTCCATCAGGGCTCCCTGAGCTGTGTAAAGGTCATGTTTCAATACGCCACAAACTATTAATGCTTTGACAGTATTTTGTGTTAAATGCTGCTCAATGAATTGAATGAAGATGTAGGTGAAAGGTGAGATGAAGAGGAAGGATGTGAATGAATGATAAGTACCTGTTGTACTTGATTTAGTGGAAGTTTTCATACTAGCAGGAGCAAAATTAGATCATTGCTTTTCCTTGGTTTCTGTATATGTTTGTTGTATCATTCAGCTCTTTTCTTATGAGTCTACCCCACGTGGGGAAAAAACATCATTTGAAGTACTTTTTCTGCTCAAATGCTTCAACTCGCTGGAGTGTTTTTTGTTCCTGAGGCTTTTTGTCTTCTTTGCGGAGGCTGAAACCCGATCATCCTGCTAAGCCGACCTCTGTCCCACTAACAGACACATTAGACACAATGAAAGGAGCGGGACTGAAGCCAGAACATGTTTCTAACAATGCAAACATTAATGTTCTGTACATTAGAGTTGCAGATTAACAGTAAGTGAGAGAATAAAAAGAGATCAATTCAGGCTCTGTCTCATGACTGACGTCCTCACAAAGTGGACCGCTGCCTGCACACTCACCCAGGACACCGATTACTTAGTTGGAAGCCAGTTATTCTTGATAGTTCTTTCTTTTCTTGTAGCGAAGAAATATTAGTAAAGCAATACCCCAACCCCAATCCCTTCTTCCCTCCTCCTTCCAAGTCAGACAGCTACTGTTTGTCTCAAAGTGTTGGATTATTTTAAACTTTTTCATCCTTGGCACCATTTTCATTTCAATAATTGGAAAATGTACAGCAAGCAGAGTTTCTAAGAATCACTGGCTAAACTTTCACTGAAATCCTTCAGTAGATTTCCTCTTTAAAAGTAGTTTTTCAGTACTTAACAAAAGTATCGAGATCAGGTCACATGTCTGGTCATAGAAAGATGAAATTCTCAAAACATACAGATTTTCAGTGGACTCGTGAGAGTTCAACTTAAAAACAGAACCTTAAATCCAAAGCAACAGAGATCAAGGCATTGGCATGTGTCCAGGTTCAAAAACACTGCATCCTACATTTCCCATAATACAACTCAACAACTTTTCATTTGACCCTCCCTGCCTGGTGAGCACACGTTTGTTAAATTGCACAGATCCAGTTTGTAACACAAGTTACCTTTTTATAAAAATTGTACTCTCCAAGCCCAAGCAGAAATCACCCCGATGGCGTCGTTCTGACATCACCAGGGTCATCATCTCTCAGAGGATATTATATAGCAGTTTCAACGAGAGGAGTGACACTCCTAACGACCAGTAAATGATGTGTGTAAAATCAGTGCAGTTAAGATGTGCACAGTCTGCAGTGCTCGTGTCTTTGTGCTCATCATTGTGTCTGCTGTGCGTTTCTCTTCTGCAGGGAAACGCCATCAAGACCTACAAGTACAACGTCCTCACCTTCATCCCCCTGAACCTGTACGAGCAGTTTAAGAGAGTAGCCAACCTCTACTTCCTGGCTCTGCTCATCTTACAGGTACGTTTTAAAATAAACAAAACATCTGTCTTCTGATTTACATTTGTCCAGTAAAACACAGACCAGTAAAGACCATCACGTGTTTGTGTTTTCCTGTCAGATTATCCCAGACATCTCCACTCTGCCCTGGTACACCACGCTGATCCCTCTGGTTGTGGTGCTGGGAATCACTGCCATTAAAGACCTGGTGGACGATCTGGTGAGACTTCTCCTTTTGACTCTCTCTCTCACTCACACACACACACACACACACAAAATTATATATTAAGTTATTATTTCATGTGCCCGGTCCTCTTTTTAAATTTGTTTTCAAGGCGCGACACAGGATGGACAAGGAAATCAACAACAGGAAGTCTGAGGTCCTGTTGGACGGCAGGTTAGATTTATAATTAAAGATATCTGCCATCTTTAAAACCTGATGCCTACTTTTTATGACAAATGCCAGTTTCCAGTTTCTCCAATTCATGGTAACAACATAAAACAAAAAAACAAAAAAAAAAACTGACCTGTCCTCTCTGCTTCAGGTTTCAAGAGTCGAAGTGGATGAACATTCAGGTCGGAGATGTGGTTCGTCTGAAGAAAAACGACTTCATTCCGGTACGATGATGGACTGTGTGACAATGCCCTCAACTATAACTAGTATTTCAGTAATCCAAACCCTAACGCTACCCTTAACCTAACCTTACCTAAACCTAACCTTAATGTCTTGACCTAAATATGTAATGGTTAATGTTATGGGGGCTTGCTTTTTGTCCCTATTCTTGTGACTTTCTTTGGTACTTCATTGTTATAAATAAACATTGTTATAAATTTCACTTTTATTAATATGTATATATTTTTTATTGTCTTCAGGCCGACATCCTGCTGTTATCCAGCTCCAACCCAAACAGCCTGTGTTACGTAGAGACAGCTGAACTTGACGGGTAAGAGTTTTTACTTTGCATGCAAACTGTAATATCTATATCAAGTGCTGTATTCAAATTGACTAGTGGATGACATTTTGTAACTGGAACAGGGTTCTTTTCTCTGTGAAGTTTTTGTTTGATCTGTCATTTTCTAAAACATTCGGTCAACGCTGATAAGAGGAGGGTAAATGTGTAAAGAGCTTTTGCCAAACTCGTCCATGTGACCAGTTATGTACGTTCTGCGGTTAAGTGAGAAACGCCTTTAAATAAAACAAGCACATGTTTCTCTAATGGAAGCATTTAACGGCGAAGCATGGAAATGGATTTCCCCTTTTTTGTGGCATGTAGATTGCATGTAGTGAATTGTGAATTCATTTATTCATAAATCTGTCCAGACAGGCGGCCTCTTATTGTGGAGTTAACCTGATCAACATGCAGATAAATAAATCCATCATAATCCAAATTTCCTGAGCTTGTATCCGTCTCTGGTTCACTCATCCATCTCCTTGTGTGTTGGTTTTTCTTTTGCAGAGAGACAAACCTGAAGTTTAAGATGGGACTAAGAGTGACGGATGAGAAACTTCAGGAAGAGCGAAAGCTAGCTGAGTTTGATGGTAAATGCTTCAAAGCTACAATCCAAGTTTATTTTCATAAAATTTTTACTTACATAATTACTTATGATTAGTCAGAATGAGAATCAACTGTAAATGGGGAAAAAAAAAAATTATTTTGAAATTAAAGGAGTTTTATGAAAGTTTTGCTATTGCAATTTAGCCAACGTTAGCATTAACAGCTGTTTACTTACCAGTCTTACCAAGAGCTTAAGCCTCAGTGTTTACAAGACAAGAGGTTATAACACATCTAAGCAGCTGTCTTCATGACAGACTGGAGGCTACAGTGACTCGGTATCAGAAAGTGACGAGACAGTCCAACTGGGGCTAGCTTGTTAGCATGCAAACTTCAGTAGAAGAAAAGAAGTGATAGAAATCGAAACAAAACAAGAGTCAACATTGGTGTTGCTTTGCACCTCTGGAGCGATTGTTGGTTAGTAAAGGAATGAAGTTTGATGCTGAAATCACAACATTTCTAAGTGAACAGCTGCTAATGCTAATGTTAGCTATGTAGCAATAGCAAAACTTGCATATAGCTCCTTTTTAATATATAAAAGATAATAACATTCAACAGTAAATGAAGAACATATCTACATTTGTTGTTCCTCCCCAGCATGAGGAAAAAAAAAATGTTCTTTTGTGTCAATGCCAGTGAATAAATAATAATTACACGCTTGTTCTGATAACAGCAGCAGTGGATGATAAGAATTAAGATAAAGTGCGTCTGTGTTTGCATTGTCCAGTGTGTGTTATGCAAGAGATTCTCAGGAATATTGATGTGTTTGTTGTTGCATGTTTCATTTTTAAATTTATTTTCAAGTAAGTTTTAGTTTTTTTTTTTTTTTTTCAAATTTAAAGTATTCACTATGGGGTATTTTCCATTTTCATTATAAACGTGTAGATGAGTTAGTTTTCAATAAATTCACAGGTAACTTTAAGTTAACCCTGTGTAAGAAGTCTTTCCACTTTGCCATTAAACAATTAGGAATAAGTGTTCAGGTGGGTGCCGCTGTAGCGTGGTCAGTAGAGATCAGAGGGTACTTGAGGTTATCGGTCAACACTTCAGAGCAAAATATCACAACTACTGACAGACATGGTCATAAACTTTACTGAAATAATTCAGGATTCACTCATATTTACTCATTTGGCAGAAGCTTTTATCCGAAGCAACTTAGAGACAACTCTAAAGCTTTTGTTATTAATAGTTTTTACTCCTCGACCTCCTCATGTCCTCTCATCTCTCTCACAGCTCTGATTGAGTGCGAGGAGCCAAACAATCGTCTGGACAAGTTCATAGGGACGATGCTGTGGGACAGGAAGCGCTACCCTCTGGACCTGGACAACATGCTGCTCCGAGGCTGCAAGATCAGAAACACCGACGTGTGTCACGGCCTGGTCATCTTCGCAGGTGTGAACGCTGCTGCGTCACTGCTTTGACATGAGATTTTCCTGTGGGGAAAACCCAGTTGCGGTACTGGGAGAACATACTGAAGATGTGGATACAGTCGGTCTTCAGATAAAATAGCTGTTGAAAATTTGTTAGATTTTTTTTTTTTCTTTCATTGCATATGGAAGATCCATATTGTGGCTGAAACAAACCACAGTTGCCAATAAAGTTATTGACAGTCCTGATAAGCAAATGATCATTTCAATAATTTTTGAAACAAAATGTCAAACATTGTGTTTCCGGTTTCTCCAATGGGAGGATTTGCTGCTTTTCACTGTTTTACGTCATTGTAAACTCAATATTTCTGAGTTTTGGTTTGTTGTTTGGACAAAACTGAGGATGACATCAGCTTGGACTTTGGGAAATGTTGTACTATTTTCTGTAATTTTATAGACCAATAAATGATCTATCAATTAATCAAGAAAATAAACAGTTGTGTATTCATAGCCGTATAGTTGTAGCCAACATTAACTTCTCACTGGCATTAGATCAAATCTGAAATATTTTAGAATATTTATGAAGAGTGAAAATGAATCATGACTGATGGATAATATTTAAAATGTCACTGTTTGACTTGTTTGACTTGTTGCTGAAGGTGCTGACACCAAGATCATGAGGAATGGCGGGAAGACGAGGTTCAAGCGAACCAAAATCGATGAGCTGATGAACTACATGGTTTACACAGTGAGTTAAAGTCTAGACTGTCTGGACACACGCCACTGGCAGTATTTCACTTTAAGTCTTATGTCATGCCGCTCCTTCTATTGTCTTTTGTCTGTGTCATTTAAATGTGTTTTTGTTTGAGGTGATGTATTTTATGTTTTGGCATTTATTTATTATCTTTATCAAAAATACACAATTATTTTTTTAATAGTCGCTCTGTGTGTCCCCCTCCCCTCCCTGTAGATCTTCGTGCTGCTGATCCTGGTGGCGGCGGGTCTGGCCATCGGTCACACCTTCTGGTACGAGGATATCGGCTCTAAGGCCTGGTATTTGTTCGACGGCAAAAACCAGGACGCGTCTCACAGAGGCTTCCTCAGCTTCTGGGGATACATCATCGTCCTCAACACCATGGTGCCCATTTCACTTTACGTCAGGTCAGCTCAACCTTACTCATGTCCAGATATTCAGCCTTTTTGAGAGGAAACGGGATGTCAGGTTTTATATTTGTTATGTTTGACTACAGAAAGACGAGAGTAAAATTGGATTGTTACAGTTCTCAGGAAGCAGACAGACCCATTTAATATTAGGCCAAAAACATCTACTGATCTTTGAGAGCAGTTCAATTTTGAGGTAAAGCCGTTGTTAACATGTCTTGGTAATTTAACGTTGCTGTCTCTTGGCAGTTTGGAAAACAACATCTGTCAGGAGATTGATGGTGCAGCTTTAAATCTTCAATTAAAGACATACTTTTTTAGTTTTTTCCAACTGGAAGCCTTAAGACTTTTTAACTAGTTAACCTAGACAACAAAGTCGTTAGCTTCTCTGTAGTATTGGCTTATTCCTCTCTACTTTTTTTCACTCAGCTTTAGTAACGAGAAAAACAGTCAGAATAAATTGTCAGTGTGTCATCTCCTGTTTGTGTGCTTTGTGTTCAGTGTGGAGGTGATCCGTCTGGGCCAGAGTAAGTTCATCAACTGGGACCTGCAGATGTATTTCGCAGAGAAAGACACTCCAGCCAAGGTAAGTTAATACTGCTTTCATAATTATTGTCCGTGGCTCCTTCTGTCTCTCATCAGTTTTTGATCTTATGCACATGGGACTCTGAACCAGACAGCAGGTTTTAGAACAGCAGATAAATAATAGTTTCACTGCCGTGCTGCAGCCGTGATCTATGTTTATTTATATGAAGAAATAAAGACTCAGAAAACTTCAACTCGGTGACATACTGTAGCATAATAACAGATTACTGCAGATATTGCAGATGAACTTTAACATGATTTGCTAAGTATTATGTTCTATTTTCATGAAACTCTGTGTTAAAAGTTTACACTGTTTGTGAGTGTTACTTCACAACTAAGAGACATTTATCAGAGATTAAAACGTCTTTAAAAACAACTGTATCTTCTTCCATTGTAAAAGTTTATATTCATGTATTTCTTACTTTGCATAGCTTTAATCAATGATACAACTACTTGCATTATTATACTGAGCACTTTATTTTCTACTGATGTAACTTCTCACAGCTGAAAGCTAAAGAAACCGAAAACCGTTTTTTTTTTTTTTTTTTTAAAGCTTTCAGCTATGTCTCATGATCTTCATCAGTGAATGGCATTGTATTATACAACTGCTTGTTATCACATCATCGCTGTTTCATACTAAAGTTATATAATGTGGAGTGCACAAACTCTATTCACCAATAATGGCCTTGAGATGCTGTTGAAATTTTCTAGTAAGTGGACCTTGAGCCGCCATTCAGCTTTTCTAAAAGTCAAGAATGGACTTGTTTTTCCCATTGCAGTGAAACAAGGACTTAATTGTATTGTATTGTACTTTATGTATTCTTTCCTTGTGCATCATTTTGAAGAAAGCTCTCACTGACTCCACCCTTTAGGCTCGGACCACCACCCTGAACGAGCAGCTCGGTCAGATCGAGTACGTCTTCTCCGACAAGACGGGAACTCTGACGCAGAACGTCATGCAGTTCAAGAAGTGCACCATTGCTGGACGTAGTTATGGTACTGAGGAGCGTCGTGTCACTCTGACAGACATACTCTGATTTTACTGCTGTTTCACATTTTAATGTCGTTGTTGCTCGCAAAAAAAGTTAACAGAGGTGAGACACAGCGAGCTGAGACTCAGTATTAGTGCCCTGCTCGGAGGTATTGAGCTTGTAGTTATGGCGACATAAGTGCCATGCACTAGTGAATTAAATTACTAATTGAACCTGTGAAAGAGGAAAAGAGATCTGCAAGTGAAAGAGTGACACCTGCTGCTCTTTTACTGCAACGACAGCTGCCTTGTTGATACTAATAACATCAATAAATATTCAGGATTTTTACATGAAACCAATGTTAGACACAGATTCAGTTGATGCAGGAACTAGAGGGTTTGTATTCGCTCTGTCCGTACAGGCAGACAGCACTGTGTGATCAGAAAGGTGTAAGAATGAGCCTTTAATGATCCCTTTGAGGAAAATAGTTCACTGTTGCGGGAAGAAGTGGAGTTTAGATAAGAGCAGAACAAACAGACTGTTGAGCAACAGCAACAAAAGATACAGGTACAAAGATCTGTCTTGAGTGTAAATAGCTCAGAGTGTGTCACATGGTTACAACCAGCTTTACAGGAAAGGAAGAAATGAAAAAATAAATGATAAAACACAGGGACAATTAAATGATGATGGCAAATCAGAGGAAACATTTCACAAAATCTTTCTTATAAAATTATATATTTACAAGTGATTTAATAGAAGTTACAAGATGTAGCCTGTTGGGTATCAGTGCACTGCAACAAACCCAGTGACCAGACCTGGAAATATACAGCAGAACCAAACAGTAACATTTCAAATCAAAGTGACTCTAACAGGCTGCCTATGCAAGTTGGCGAGGACAGGGGTAACGTGCTGCATTAAGTTAGTCCAGGTATGAACAAATAAAAGCATGTTTGATTTTGTGTAAATTAGCAGGAGACAAAAAAATAAACTAATCGGATTTTCTTGAGTTTGGGAGAAAAGATGTAAGTGGATAATGTTCTTCATTCAAAACCTGTGTCTGCCTTAGATAATTACACAGACGTCTTGCTCAGTAATACCAAGTGCTGTTTGAATTCTGTTTTCCCTTTTCATACCACTGTCCATGTGTATGTGTTCTTTATATGTCTTTACACTAATGCACTGCTCCACCCTGCTGTGTCCTCTCCACAGGTTCCCCCACCACTGCTGAGGGAGTGGCGCTGGACCGAGGAAGGGTAAAATATAATAAAATAAACGCATCACAGCAGAAGGGATATTGATTTAATCACTCGGGAATGATTACTGATTATTTCTACTGTAGTTTTCAAAAGCTTTTTTTCCTGTTTCCCATCAGCCGGTGGACTGGAGCTGGAACCCCCAGGCTGACAGGAAGTTCCAGTTCATGGATCATTCCCTGGTCGCCTGCGTCCGATCCAGGAAGGACAAAGATGCTACGGAGTTCTTCAAACTGCTCTCCCTCTGCCACACCGTCATGGTCGAGCACAAAGACGGTAAACCTACAATCATTACTGAGTGGAGCGAAGGCGGCATGAGTAAGCTGCAGCCCCCTGTGACTGTGATAGGCTGCGGCACCTGTCAGTCAACACTAACACGCCCTAAAGAGGGCGAGAACAATATTTCTCATACTGTTATTGAATCAAACGACTCTGCGATGAAGCAATGAAAAAGAAAAGAGGAGGTTTTGCATTAGACATGACCACTTCAAATTACATCTTTCCCTCAGGTGATCTGGTGTACCAGGCGGCGTCTCCTGACGAAGGCGCCCTGGTGACGGCAGCCAGGAACTTCGGGTACGTGTTCCTGTCTCGTACCCAGGACACCATCACCATCAAGGAGATGGAGCAGGAGACAACGTATGAAATGCTGGCGTTGCTCGACTTTAACTCCGACCGCAAGCGCATGTCTATCATCTGTAAGAGCACACGCACACACACACACACACACATTCATACATACTTCTGTAGTTGTAGCTCTGCTGTGCTCTTGCATACAAAGTAAAAATCTCACATTCACCATCCTCCTACCTAAAGTACTCAATAGGCCATCAAATGTAAAAATTAATCCACCGCAGAAAATAGTCCCAAGCAAATGCACTGGTTCCTTCTATTTAAGTGACATTTGTTAAAAACTACAATGACCACCTCTTTCTTCAGAAATATTTATTTGATTTATATATTTATACATACAATAGTGACTTGTGACTTCACTTGCAACTTAATTGTTATGCCTCCGCACTGACGACAGTCAGATCCCGAGGCATATTGTTTTCAGGTTGTCCATCCGTCCATCCCGTTCTCGTGGACGCAATATCTCAGTAACGCCTTGAGGGATTTTGTTGAAATTTGGCAACAACATTCACTTGGACTCCAGGATGAACTGATTTGATTTTGGTGGTCAAAGTTCAAAGGTGAAGGTCACGGTGACCTCACCTTGTGAATGCAATATATCCAGAATGCCCAGAGGCAATTTCATCACTTCTGTCACACTGATCAGACAAAACAAGTTTTTAGCCATAACTCACAAATTCATTCACTAATTATGACACAATTAACTCAAACGTATATAAGGATAAAATGAAGTGATAACATTTTATATCGAAAGGGTCAAAGGTCAGCTTCACTGTGACATCATCATGTTCTGCAAAAACACTTCTGCTCATAATTCAATGCTTTAACTCAGGAAGGAGAGACTGTGACCATATTTCCTGATACTTGGCTGGTTGGTGGAGGAAACAACCACGAGGTGGCGATTGTAGTTCTATAGTAGATACACTGTGATGACACCAGCCAGTTACCTTATGCAAGCAGGTGGGAAGGGTGCATTTGGCTGTTCAGATGAGCAGACACATAAGTAATGACTTGAAACACACAGTTAAAACTTCACGTTGTTGTGAAGTCCCACATCAAGGCAACACAAGCCAAAGACTTGAGACGTTTTTGTGACTTCTCTCCCTCTTCTTCTCCTCTAACACTCCTTCTGTGTCTTCTCTGTCTTCCAGTGAAGTTTCCTGATGGGCGTATTCGTCTCTACTGTAAAGGAGCAGACACGGTCATCTATGAGCGACTCTCCCCCAACTCCAGACACAAGGAGACTACCCAGACTGCTCTGGATGTGAGTGCACGTGGCTTTATTCTCATTTGCACCAGTGTGTTTCACTGCGGTTACTGTGGAAGGAAACACAGCCTGTGTTATTGCGTTGCAGATCTTTGCCAACGAGACCTTGCGGACGCTGTGCTTGTGTTACAAAGACATCAGCAGAGAGGAGTATGAGGCCTGGTCCAGGAAACACGAAGAAGCCCAGGTGTCCATGTCCGACCGAGACGCCGCCCTCGACCGTGTATATGAGCAAATTGAGAACAACCTTATGGTGAGTGGAAAAAAAAACAAAAAACAACTACACTTTAGTTTGACACATGTATGAAGAATGAACTTTAATGCTTAAGAAGAAAATGTTTATTTTCTCCTGAGAAAGTGTGGCGTTGAGGCTCCGACAGGTGGAGGAATCAGGAGGACGCAGCTTGAACCATGAAATGAACATTGAACAGTAGAAATAACAAAAGAACAAAAATTGTGTAGAAACAGTTGTAAGCTTTGGTAACAATGCTGCTGATATTTCAGCAGTGTGTAAACTGGGAATGATGGAAACCAATGTTTTTCATTTTATGGGGTAATTTATGAATTTATTAGATTTTTGTATTAGGAAAGATGGTAAAAAGAAATCAAGTATAGTCTATGTTTGTTGTTTTCAATTTTTCCACTGACCTTGAAGAGGCTCTGGTTGATCTTTAGCAGAGTCAGCAGCTCTTTGACCTAGAATCCAACTGGAATCCATTTTGACGTTCTCTAATAAATCTGGGTATGTTTGCTATAAACAGTTAAAAACAATGAGCCTCAGTCGTATCTAACCGGTCGTGTCCCTCTGTGTAGCTGATTGGGGCGACAGCCATCGAGGACAAACTGCAGGACGGAGTGCCGGAGACCATCGCCAAACTGGCCAAGGCTGACATCAAGATCTGGGTCCTGACTGGAGATAAGAAAGGTAGCGTCACGTCAGACTTACAGAGAAGAGTGTGTCTGGAAGGCTACAAGAACCAATAAAGCTAAATGACAAAATAGCAATGGTTAAAGTATGGTTTGGGATTTATGAATGAAATAATGCATAAAACTGGATTAAATACTGTCAAATTTGATTTATAAAAACAATTTTGCATGTTTCCCCCCAAGAAACGGCGGAAAACATCGGATATTCCTGTTCGCTCCTGACTGACGACATGCAGCTCCACTACGGAGAAGACGTCAAGTGAGTCGATTTAAAATGTCACAGCATAAAACAGTGCTATAATTAAAAGATCGACCATCGTTTATGTTTTACGCATCATCAGTGTACTGTTTGGGATGAAGAAAGAACACATACACACACATGCCGTATGGATGTTGAGAGTTATTAGTTGCTGTAATCATTCCTGACTGTGAAGTGATCCGTTCATCATTTCAGCTGAAGTTAAAGAGGAACTGATTTTACACATCAGAGTGTGTTTCCAGGTGCTGGAGTACTAATGCATATGTGACAGAGCTCTGTAAAGCCGTCAGTGTCTCCAGAGGAAGCTGTGTGAAGTCTCATCAATGTCCTCAAGTGATGTCACACACCTCTGTAGCCCGCTACTAATCTCTGCTCCAGGCCAGAGACTCCATCAGTCAGTATGAGCCACACCTGAAATGTCACTGGTCAAGTTGCATCATGGGTAATGGCAAGGAAGAAGGATGTGTGGAATTAAAAAAAAAAAAAGCCAATATAGCTTGTTCTCTTAACTGTCAATCATAAGTCTGGTGATGTTATAGGACTGCAGTGCAGAACTGGTGGAGTGCTCTTTTAATATGAGGCACCAGCGGAGTCGTTTCCTCAACAAACCAACATGGTGGCTTCAAAGATATGACTCACTGGTCGGTCCCTCTGCAGCCGTACAACAAGGAAACACAGTTCAGGGAAACAGAAAGGGGATTTTGACAGTCTTACGAACTTTGTAAGACGCCAATTGGTTTTCTCTTACTCAGACTGTTGAAGCCTCATGTGAGTTTATATGTGTTCAATACAGAAGTTTTAGGCACTGTAGTGGAACATTTTAGTGTGATTGTTTTTTTTTTTGTAATAGGAAAAATTCACACCATCATATGTGTGCTATTGTGTGACCTGATTTTAACCCCTTTGTAGTTGATAAACTGTCTCTTGGCTGTGGTAAAGGAGTAGTTCTTTATCTGCATTCTTGCCCCACATATCTTGTTTTTACTCCGGAGAATTTACAACTACCAGTGTTTTCAAAGATCAACTTGTTAATGGTTTTACCAAACAGGTAAAACAAGATCTAAAACATACTTGACAGCACTAGAAGACAGGTTTGTTGTTTCCTGCTCTAAGTTTAAGCCATCCCTCCCTGTTTGCTGTTCCACCTCAGTATCCTGGTTTCAGGCTCTTCCCGTGCTGTGTAAGAGTTTGTGTGTGTCTGTCTCCAGTGAGCAGCTGAGGATTCGTCAGGCCAACAGGAGGAACGAGCCCGCAGCCTTCGGTCGACGCAAACAGAAACCTGCAGATCCTTTCTTCAGGCAGCCGGGCAAAAACGCTCTCGTCATCACTGGAGGATGGCTGGTGAGTTCCATTCAGGAGCTGTACTGTAAATAAAGCTTTCATCCTCCGGGGGAAACGTTTTTATGCCTCAGAGCCGGCGACAGTCGGAGCTGGAGGCTTATTGTTTTCGGGTTTCCCGTCCGTCTGTCCCATTCTCGTGGACATGATATCTCACTAACGCCTTGACAGAACAAATATTCACTCGGACTCAAGGATGAACTGGTTAGATTTTGGTGGTCAAAGGTCAAGGTCGTGGTGACCTCACAAATCACAATTTTTGGCCTTGCGAACGCAACATCTCAGTAACGCCTTGACGGACCTTCTTCAAATTTGGCACTAATGTCTAACTGGATTCAAGGAGGAACTGATTAATTTTATATCCAAATGGTCAAAGGTCAACTTCACTGTGACATCATAATGTTCTGCAAAAACACTTCTGGCTATTACTCAATGTTGTAGCTCAGGAAGGAGACACCGTGACCATGTTTCCTGCAGCTTGGCTGGTTGGTGGAGGAAACAACCACGATCATTTGTTGTAATTATTTTCTCAGAACGAGATTCTGTATGAAAAGAAGAAGAAACGGCGTCGTCTGCGTCTGCGTCGTCTAGGAAAGCGAGCACCCCCAAGCAACCCGCAGGACGGACAGCCGATGAACGACTGGGAGAAAGAGATGAGACAGGTACAGCCAAATGAATTCAACTCTTAACATAATGAATATGCCAAATGTCTAATGCTTCTTATGACATTTGGCATTCCATCTTATGGTGGTTTACATGAGAACAAATGTGGTGAAATGTCTGTTTTTTTTTTTTTCCTCTAGATTGACTTTGTGGACATGGCCTGTGAGTGTGAGGCGGTCATCTGCTGTCGTGTCACACCGAAGCAGAAAGCCAACGTGGTGAGTCTGGTGAAGAAGTACAAGAAAGCCGTGACGTTGTCCATTGGAGACGGAGCCAACGACGTGAACATGATCAAAAGTAAGGACGTGAATGAACTTTGTCCAGGTTAAAGGACAACTCTCGTTCTGCCTGTAACATGTTCCAGTGAATCTACTCTCATCTCGCCCCTGTCCCCCTGTCCTCCGTCCTCCCAGCTGCAGACATCGGTGTAGGCATCAGTGGTCAGGAGGGGATGCAGGCCGTCATGTCCAGCGACTACGCCTTCGCTCAGTTCCGTTACCTGCAGCGCCTCCTGCTGGTGCACGGGCGCTGGTCCTACATCCGGATGTGCAAGTTCCTGCGTTTCTTCTTCTACAAGAACTTTGCCTTCACCCTGGTCCACTTCTGGTACTCCTTCTTCAGCGGATACTCCTCACAGGTCAGCAGCAGCACAGGGCTGAGGATGTACATAATTCAAATATAAATCAATCTTGTGCATGTAATCGTTAAGAAATTCATCTTAAACTGGAGGAAAGGAAATGGGGTCAGTAAAGTTTAGGACCATCCATCAACATTTTTTGCTCTAGACCAAAGTATCCAGGGGAAAAAGTGGAGAGATCAACAACATCAACATCCTCAAAAAAGTTTGTCTAAATAATCATCACTTAAGATCCACTTACATCTTTTGTCTGGAGCTTTCAACATGATGAATCTCAACCTCTCATGGTCTCCGTCAGTGGAGGAGATTGTTTCACTTGTCATGGAGTTGGCTCAGTTGTCATCACATGACCTACAGTATGTCTGGAGCCCCTCCAGTTGTTGAAGTGGTTGAAAGCCCAGGAAGAAGCCAAGTAAGCGGCTCTTGAGTTCAAATCCTTTTTGTCGTCTTTTGTTCGGATGGTTTTTTAACAAAATAAAATCAGAAACCAAGACGAATGTCAAAAATATACAAACGTAAAAAACAGTGTTACAGTGTGATCCTTGAATTAAAACTGTCATTACAGAAACTAATTAGCTACATCGGTTGTCTTCCACCGTGACAGATGTTGCAGCTGATGCTCAGTTTTGTTCAGTGTTGTCCCTTATCCAGCTGATATTGTGGCCCGATCCCGGCATGCGTCAGTTTACACTCATCACCGGTGACACTGACTGTTTTCCTGTCTGCAGGTCGCCTATGAAGACTGGTTCATCACTCTGTACAACCTCTGTTACAGCAGCTTACCTGTTCTACTGGTTGGACTTCTGGACCAGGTAAAAACCGGCTTTGTCATAGACACAAAAAGGTTCATTGGAAGGAAGATTATTGGTTATTAATAGTCATTTATTAATTTTTTGCTCTCTGTAAATGCATTGCATCACAATTAAAATTGTACACATTGATCTGAAAGTTTATTTATTTATTTAGTGAGATCCCCATCAGCCACAGAGGATACTCTTCCTGGGGTCCCCTTAAATTCATAAACAATACTTCATTGACAACAGATACATCAATACACACCCATATCACCCATATTCATACTCGCAATGGGACTCACAATACACAACACAACCCCTACGACGCACAGCAACCAACACATTCTAATACATACAGTAGCTCTACTTCATAAGTTCATTTCATAATAACTGAGAAAAGAAAACTTTCCACAATTCAGTCCAATAAGTCACAAAGAAAAACAAGATAAATTTAAAAAAAATAAATAAATGGGATGAAATATCTCCTGTATCCATTTTCATTTCAGAAAACTTAAACATAAAATTCTTATAAAAAAAGAAAGTCATAATGTTCTTTACAATTCCTCGTGTAAACAAATACAATCTTAACTTTAAAAAAACATGTTGTATTCTTTTCTGAAGTCAAGAAATGTGGTAATGAATTCCAGGCCACCATTGCTCGATATTTAACTGTTCTCTGTATTAAACTAGTTCTACATGGTGGCAACAGAAAATGAGCCTTTGATGTTCATATATATCATCATCATCATTATTATTATTATTATTATTATTATTATGATGAATTAGCTGAGACATATGTTGATGTCCGGCATTACTCAGTTTTTAAATATGTACATTTGTTACATTTTCCTAAAACTAAAGTGTTTTTTGTGTAAGTGTTTTTTTTTTTTTTGCAGATTCAAGTAAATATTAGTGGGAAACAACCTTATGTTCATTTTTCTCTGACTGTCATTATGATCCTGCTTTTTCACAGCGTGTCATGTGTTGTAGTGATAAATGTCAAACATTGGAAACTAACAATTCAATGTAATCCAGGTTGGGAAACCAGTTCCATTCTCCTCTGTTCAATAAGAGAGATACTCACCCAAAACTCTGGTAACTGATCTTCCTCCTCCTCCTCCGCTTCTTCCTCTTCTCCCACTGCAGGATGTGAACGACAAACTCAGCCTGAAGTTCCCTAAGCTCTACCTGCCCGGTCAGCAAGGGTCACTGTTCAACTACAAGAACTTCTTCATCAGCTTGTTCCACGGCATCTTCGTCTCACTCACCATCTTCTTCATCCCCTACGGAGCCTTCCTGCAAACCATGGGGCAGGACGGAGAAGCCCCGTCCGACTACCAGTCCTTTGCCGTTGTCATGTCCTCGTCGCTGATTTTTACCGTCAACCTGCAGGTTGGTCACAGAGTTGTGTTGAGACATGTTGAAACCTTGTTAATTGAGAATATGCTTGTATGCTCACATTAAAACATTGCTGACTTTCACCTCTTATCCGTCAGATCTCTCTGGATACCTCCTACTGGACCTTCGTCAACTGCTTTGCGGTTCTGGGCAGCATAGCCATTTACTTCGGCATCATGTTCGACATCCACAGCGCCGGGATTCACGTCATCTTCCCCTCAGTGTTCACCTTCACTGGTCAGTCCCCTAAAAACTGAAAAGTATCTGAGCAGCAGCCATGATCAGAGCTGCTCCACTTTTCTACATGATGAGGAAAGGAGCTTCAGCGCTTCCTATCTTATCTCCTTCAGCAGAGGAAACACTGGAGTTCCCTTTATAAAACAAAAGGAGAAAATGGTGTCCCACAATTCCTTGCCACAGCAACATTTAAAGTGATGCACCATTGTAGCTTCACCACAGCAGAGCCATGTAAATGTAGATGAACAGAGCAGCTGTTTTGTGTTTGTGACACGATGCAAAACTTCTATGGAAATCTTTGTCTGATCCACTGAAGCCCGAATCCATGAATATAGATTTATTCTCTATCAGATCTCTTCAGTTATAGTCATCATGAAGAACAAGCATATTCAGTTTCCAGTTATCATCATTATCATCATCATCATCATCATCATAGATAAATGTCATTTCACTAAATCCCCTCCCATCGTGGAATGCACTGAAAATGAATTTTCCCTTCTTAACAATTGTATAGAAACAACAAAAGTCCGGCACCAGAAAACTATAAACTGATGTCTGAATAGAATTTATTCTGATCTCTTGCTCAGTTTCTTATTTCTATTTAATTATTAATTTAATGGCTCAACTTTCTCTACTTGTGTATTCTTCCATCTTATTTCAACATTTCAATCCTGTTGGTTTTGTTTTTGTGGTTAGGAAAGGAGGATTTATCATCGATGTGTTATAAATAAAGTTATGCTATGGTGACACAATTATTCCCCCTCAGTTTAAACACTACAGTTCCCATGAGCCTCAGCCGCTGTGTCTCTATTGAAGACTCCAGCCAAAGCTGTAAAGTCAGAATTGTACTGAATATTGAGAACATTTTATTTCTGACTCCCTTCAGTTTTCACTCTGCCTGAAAATGTTAAACCTAAAATTTATGGAACATATTCCACACTTTAGTGAACTTCCATTGTCAATCTGTTTCTCCTTGTTTTAATTCTGCTATGACGACTTCTTTACACTCTCCAGTTTGTCATGGACACTATGCCACATCGAAGCGCAGCCTCTTCACTGCTCTCCTAACGTGTGTATGTTGTGTTTGTAGGTGTAGCATCAAATGCTCTGCGTCAGCCGTACCTGTGGTTAACCATCATCCTGACTGTCGCCATCAGCCTGCTGCCCGTCATCTGCATCCAGTTCCTCCATAAAACCATCTGTCCCTCTGTAGGAGACAAGGTGAGACCTCTGGGTGTCTGTCCTGCACCCTCTCAGGGAAATGTTGATGATTAATCACAGCAGAGTATTTTTACATAGTTTAAAATATATCTGGGGAGGAACTTTAGTGCTGGCAGCTTCCATTGTCTCTCAGGAGGGATTATTTATTAATTCTTTAATAATCAGTGTTAAAATGGAAGAGTGTGTTTACAACCTTAAAAAGTGACCCACCATATACATACAGTAATTAAAACTGACCATTTTCCCATCAGTCACCTGGGCTAAAAGGTCTAAATAATTTAATGGTCAGAGCCAGACATGATTGAAAACTGTTAAACCAAAACTTTATTTAAAAAACAATTATCAAACCAAATTTACTTCAAAATGGAGGTTGTTGGACTGAACCATTAAATTACAGAACTTTCAAATTAAAATATTCATGAATAGAAACGACCCTGTGCCTCTTATTTCTGCAAAAGGAAAAAAAAAAAAATTACTTCTCTAATTTTACATACTCATTTCCCATCATCCACCAGGTCCAGAGAAACAGGAAGAAGTATGAGATGGAGATGGAGGAGGAGGAGAAGAAGAAAAAGCCGTCAGCCTTCCAGCGTGGCCAGCGTTCCCGCCGTTCCGCCTACGCCTTCTCTCACTCCCGCGGCTACGCCGACCTCATCTCATCTGGGCGGAGCATTCGGCGGCGCCCGCCGACCCGCGCTGGTCCCCATGACAGCATCAGGGAGGTTCCCCAGAGAGAGGCCGAAAACATCTAAACAGCAGGAGACGGAGTAAAACTGTTGCCAGAGGGGTTGTAAATATTTAGGAAAGTGCAAGGAACACTTGGTTTATCTTCATTGTTATCTGGAGTCGCCACGGAGATGGTCGACATCAGGAGCTCTGCACGGAAGTGTCAGCTGGTCGGACTTTAACTTGACCTTTCCCTTTGGGGGATTCGACTGCTTTAGGAGAGGAAATGCTCCTGAAGTTGCTCAGCTTTTAGAAAGAAAACGAGGAGCTGATTTCCCACCGGTGTGTTTAACCTGATTTGCAGAAAGTCGAATGTCTGCGACCTTGACTCCACTGCCTCCAGTTCCTCCTCTATGCACAGACACTCGCAATAGAAAGAAAAGAAAAGAAAAAAATAAAAAAATAAAGCTCACCGAAGAGACGACCGCCGTTACCGGGGTTTGAAGTCACGCAGATACTGTGTGACTGACAATGTTGTTTAACTCAGGATTTTTAATATCAGAGCCTTATTTTATAGTCAGTGTGTCCCTGCTCACCACCACTGTGATGGACAGGCAGAGGTCATGTGGTTTAATATGATACCTTTTTGACCTTCACAGTTTTAGCCCGAGGATTTGATATGATGGTGTTTTATTAAAATTAAAAAAAAAAAAAAAAAAAACCCAAACGTTTTCCTTCACCTTAAAACCAGCGGGCTAAATCTATACATGTCAAGGTATCTTCTTTTAATCTTTTATTATAAATAATGGGGGGATGTTATTATGCTAGGCTATGCAAGGTTGTCAGATGTTATAAAGTGTGTCTTAATTTAAAATTAAGTTGTGAATAGTGATCTTTTCTCCTCAAGTGTCCTTACAGCTAATATTATTTCTATACCACACATTTTATGTTTTTTTTCTTTTCTTTCTTTACTCCTTTCTTTTTTTCTAGTTTGTCGTCCAACATCAGCGCCTCACTGTCTTTTTAATGTGCAGAATGTAAATTTAAGAGCTCCTCACTCAAAGGACGGAGGTTCATCATCTGATTTAGTCGTTTTCTTAACTCTTTGAAAGTAAAATGAGTTTCTTTACTAATTAAAAAAGTAGGAGTTTATTTTTGAGTGTGTGTGTGTGTGTGTGTGTGTGTGTGTGTGTGTGTCGCAGGTTGTTTACAATGAACCCGAAGAAGACATTTGTGTTTTTGTGTCATATAATCTGATTTTAGGATATCTTCTGAACAGCGCGAAGCCAAAACTCTCATATACCTGTTCTGACTGTTACTGTATTCCCTTCATGCTAGTGTTAATGTATACAGATCATGTCTTTTTACTACTGAGTGAATGGTGGCAGCAGGGCGTGATTGCTGTTGACTGCACCAGCGGCAGTTTGCTCTCTTGTCATATGATGGTATTTTATCATGTGGTTGTTAATAAAAGCCAAGGGCACATTTAGCAATCTGAGACGAGTCTTTATTTTGTTGTGTTGACTCACGCCTCTTGTTTTAATTCTGACTGTAGTGATTGTAAAATACTATAAATGATAAGTGATTGACATGATTAGGTCTGGGTAATATTCATTAATGATGCTGCTGACCGTAACCTACCTGACTTTCAGTACAGATAGTCATGGGAGGTGTTTCAATAGCTTAATTTATAAAGATGCTTTTCCACAAAAAACATTTTTTATTCAACAGCATAAAATGAATAGGGTTGCATTCAACGCAAGTGTTGGAGTTCAACAGAATAGGTTTGAAGTTTGAAGAGATGTGTTTTGAGGTGGGATTTGAAAATAGGAAGAGAGTCAACATTACTGATGTCTTGTGGGAGTGAGCTCCAGAGTCGAGGGGCAACACGGCTGGTATTCCCACACATATTTTTCATTATCACATAAATGGTACATGGAAGAAACATATTTCCTTGCTCAGTATGTATGTTGTGAGTTCGGGAGGTAGACGCCCTCTCTACATTTAAGATTAGGCCTGAAACTTCCATCTGTGATAAGACTCGTGGTCAGGTGAGCCCTGAACCAGCCCTCAATTCTGCTGCTATAGGCCGAGGCCGCTGGGAAAACTCCCATGATGCTCTTAGCACTCTCTCTAACCCTAACCCTTCTCTTCTCAATCCCAACGTCGGCCCTCACTGACTCGCAGACTTGGAGGTGCGTTCCCGGTGAGTTCCTGAGGGCTTAGTTCTGTCCCACTGTCAAACCAATCGAGGGCATGAGGCCTCTGTAGCAGACATTTTGAGCCTTTTATCCACACTTTCCTTAAGTCTGCGTTTCTGCAGACCACCTGAGGGAATTACCCAAGGTTCATAGCGTTGTGACATTAAACATAGTGTTGCGATGGTTATCAGCGGATGCCCCGGAAGCGTAAAAATGGCAAACAATGGCCATAAAACGGAAGAAATAATAAGATGGAAGAAGAACGGTTCACAAACAAGCATGAAAGGAACGAACACTAATGTTAGCATTACAAGAAAAAATTGAGCAACAGCGCCTGAATACAACAGTATATACAGCTGCTCAATTCAATTTAGTTCAAATGTTCTTTATTGGAATGAAAAAACAATATTGCTAAAGCATCAAAATACAATTCTAATTACAAAAAAATGCAGCTCCTCCTGTTCTCTCTCTCTCTTACTGGCAGAGAATCATTATACTGCTTCATACTACTGTCAGCATATTATAATGAAGTGCAGCAGAACCTGCTGTGTGTTTTAGTAAAAATAAATCAATCATTTTATCAGTGCAGCTTTAATTTTCTCTGGGCAGCCTCTGGGTGTCACTGCAGGACTGTGTGTCTCATTCAGCTCGGCTCTGACTCTAGTTGAGCTGCAGGAGCAGAGGATGGCAGCTCACATGGCACCAAAACATCTGAACAATAACACACATATCTTAACATATGACTGTTTCTACACCTATTTACATATTCTAGTGATTAAGATTTGTTCAACACTTTAACATTGAAGAAGAATCTGTTTTTTCTTTCCTCTTTTTTTTTTTTTTTTGGTACCTGAGGAGAATGTGCAGGTTGAGGTAACTGTGTGAGATTCCCTCATCAGTCCTAACTGGTCTTGGGACCACTACTTGGATGTATCTTGACCCATTCAGTAGCTCCTATCTGAGCTAGCTCCATCACCCTCCAATTCTGCTTTTAAATCATCTGATTCATGAATGACACAAAAACGAATTCCTCGTCATCGGTGGTCTCACTGATCTTCATTCATTTCCAGAGCTGCTTTCATCAAAACCTCTCATATCAAAGAAAACACTGCTCTGCACTCAACCTGACACCCTGGTGCTGCTCCCATCACATCATCACTGTGACAGTAAACTCGTACAAACAGACCTCTTCATCATTGTGTCTGTATTGATTCATAGCAACAGTGAGACAACAGCGACACCACGAGGCCAGACTGGAAAACACAACATTACCTGCTGTCATTTACAGTAGTTATACTACTACAGACTTTTTCAGAGAAAAACATTAGAAGAATGCTCTTTATTATTTTTGACATTTTGACACCAGAAAATGGCCAGAGACAAATAGTTTGAGGTGTATAGTGTTTATTCTGGTGAAATGAATGAATTGGACAGGTCACACTGTCTGATATTTAAAACGTTAGATTAAAAGAAGGAATGAGAAGAGAGGAGCCGGAAGTGAGGGAGAAAAGTAGGATGAAACAAAAGTGAATAAGGTGAAACTGTTTCAGGATTTAATGTAAAATTTAAAGGAGTTTCCTCTTTTAACTTTCTCTTTAAATGCAGAAGAGGCAACCAAAAAGTAAAAGATGTAGAGATGTGTACAACTGCACGTTGAACTGTACTGTTCTTGTAAATATGTTTAAAGATAAAAAAAGAAGAAATTAATCATTAAAATGATTTATGTCGTTAAACATGATGAAGATGTTTTCTGAATTTGCAGCGTGTATTTGCATTTGTTGAGTTGCAGTGCGTTGGGCTTTCAGGGCCACCGTACAAAACAAAACAAAACAAAACAAAACAAAACAAAACAAAACAAAACAAAACAAAACAAACAAAAAAAACAACAAAACAAAACAAAACAAAACAAAACAAAACAAAACAAAACAAAATCATTGATTTATACCTTACAAGCCCCTTAAAATGTTTCATATTAACAATGTAAATTTTCAAGAGATTCATGATAGCATTTCCTCAGTTCCTGTTATTGCTGTCTTAATCTTAAGTAGTGTTTTTATGCCTTAGTCCTCTGTGCGTAAATAGGGGTGAATGTGTGTGTGTGTGTGTGTGTGTGCGGCTTTTCTTTTTATTGCTTCTATTCTGTAAAGCACTTTATGTTACATTGTATGTATGAAAAGTGCTATACAAATAAAGTCTGATTGATTGATATTAACAATAACATTTTAACAATGGTGTTCTTTACAGCAATCCTGTATAAATGACATAAGATTCCACTGGGGTTTTAAAAGTTGAAATTTTATTCGATTCATCCCTACAACCAATAAAATTACTCCTGTAACACTGCTAACAGCATGTTAAATCATCTTTTTTTTGGCCGCTATCTCTCAGTCTCTCTGTCAAATCTGCATCAGTTCCACATCGGAGGCCTCCAGGCGGACTCAGATAATGCTCTCCATATTTACAGTGGCAGGAGGATTGGGAGGTTTTTGACTAGATCCCATTTGTGTGAACCTATTAGTGCTGAGCGCTCTGAGCTCCCTCTGATACGCCTCTGAGATTAGGCAATGGTATTACTGTAAGAGGATCGACTCGCCTCGAGGTAAGGGCTGAATATACAGGGAGAGAGAGAGAGAGAGAGAGAGAGAGAGGGAGAGAGGGAGGGAGGGAGGAACACACACAAAGACGGGAACATGCTCACACAGATAGGACCACACACTCCCCAGAAAAAATCAGGACCTGGCAGTGAGAGTGGGAAAGAGATAGAAAGAGGAAGACACACTTTGAAATGAAGAAGCCAAGAACCTGTGATGATGATGATGATGATGATTATAATGAAGGAGACAGAGAGAGAGAGAGAGAGAGATCATGCAATTTAAACATAGGTAAAACTGAAATGATCTGTTTGCCTCTTCTGGACATGAATACGTGTGATTTAACCCCTTATGTTCTGGAGAGGTTGAACCTGATGTGCATAATTACATTTTTTTTAAAAGAAAAGATGCTGCCTTCAGACCTGAGACCTGAACCAAAATGTTGTCCACCCATGCAACTGTGCTCACAATTCACATTCTCATCTGCCTCAAAAACATCGTATTCTCCTTTGAGTATGTGAACCACCACATGATCAGAGCTCGTAGTCCACTTGGATCCACTCAGGTATTAGACAAACTGGTCTACCTGATCCAGTAACACTGAATATTATTTGAATCCGTCTCAACTCATATGTACTGTCACCAGCTCAAAAACATATAAATGTCCCTGTGGAGTTTTCCTGCATTACATTAAAATGTGTTTGTAATAATCTTCCCCAATTGAGTGTAGTAACTACTACAAAAAACAACCTAGAAAATATTTAAAATCCTGCATTATATTCCTGCATGTGCTGTAAATGTGTCCAGTATTTATCGACCACAGATGAGTTCCTCTCCAGACAGGTTTTAAACAATGTAAAAATACTCTGCTATGATTAACATTCTGTTTAACACGATTTTCACACAAAAAAAGTGAAAAAAAGGAAAACCGGGGATGGAAGCTCATTTACTTTTACTTTCTCATTTAAAAATCTGGAATAGGCCCCGCCCACCACCGCTGGTTGTGCTAAGTAGACAGGCGAAAGAGCAGAGAGTATCAGTATGTTAGAGGAGGAAGCATCAGAGAGACTCAGCCACATGTCAAAGACTATGGTTAGCGTAGTTAGCATCTTTTATTTTCTTAATGCTGTTTGTCAGCTTGTAACTGGCCATGGCTGACACATTGTTAGTTTCTCTCTGTACTGACAAAGTTTCAAGTTTATTTAGCCTCGTCCCGTCACTGCAAATTGATTGGTTCCTTAGCTTTGTGACGTATGAAACACTTTCATGATGCATTATTCTATTCTTGACTTTGTCCTTCTGTGCAGATAGTAAGAGTAGTTTTTCTTGTTCGCGTCTGTCACCTGACAGCACAAAATAAAGATGAGAGAGCTGTATGTTAAAACAAGTAAGGCCACAAAAGGTCTGTCATGATAGTAAATAAGCTGCAAAACTAAAACTAAATCTAAATCTGACTGACCCAGTGATCTCTGCTGAGTTTGTGAATAAGTGTTTTCTAGCATACACAATATATACATATAATGTAATATATATAATGAATATAATATAATAATATATATATTTACTGATGTGGAGCCCATAAAACCATAACCATATATTCCTTATATATTCCATATATAATAGGTGTAATAGCAAGGCTTTATATATTGTACGGCAAAGGCACACACACACAAAGGCAGTAAAACA